GAGTACCTTCCATATTTGAGGCCACTAAAAATTTCTAGATATTAGCTCCAAAGTCTTACTGTATCCAAAATATCCAATTGTTGTAAAGTCATGATGAACTTGAAGAACATATAATTATATTTAGCCTTCTAAAATATATAATTATTCTTCAAAAAAAAAAAAAAAAAAAAAAAAAAAAAAAAAAACAACTTGAAAGTATCATGAGACTTAAAAGAATTATTCTTGACATTATGAATAAAAAGATTACAAGACATACTTGATTGAATTTGCTTAACAAAGATTGAATCAACAGTCAATGTTGATTTTATTATTCAAAGATGAAAATACTCTAGCTTTAAGAAAATTATTCATTGTTGATTAAAAGCTATATTTTTTTCTTTTAGTGCAAGATAAGAATGTCTAAAAAGGATATTTCATAAATCTTATTATTTTGGAGATCTATAAATGATCTTAAAATTAAATTTTAATAAAGACATACTCCAATGAACTTGACAACAATTCAAAACATGTGACAATATAAAGTATTCAAGGTGCTTATAATCTATATATATATATATATATATATATATATATATATATATATATATATATATATATATATATATATTAATTACACTAGAAGCATCTTCTAGATAATGACATCATTTTTCAAATGAATCCATAATTACAAAAAATTCTTTGCAGTAGATCTTATAATTAATCTTAATTGTTGAAAATTTCTTGGACTAAAAATAAATCACGTGGAGCTTATTATTTGCTCTTATTTGTGATAAAATAATATTCATAGCAATATCTGATGCACTTGTTTCTATGAAGAATGCTTTAGAAAAATTGACACAATACAAAATTGATACAAAAATAAATGCTATCTTTAAGGCTTCAAAAGATATTTCAGCTTCTTTGCTCTATTCAAGTTTGTCTTTATATATCAAACATGTTAAAAAAAATGCAATTTGAAAAAAGTTCTTAATGAAGATTTGATGGTAATTGATAAATTCCAAAAAACATTGCATATCTCTAATTGTTTTTCAGATCTTCCAATCTACAATAGTCTAAACTTTCTTAGGATCCATCATTAATCTTTTGTTGGAAATGAAGTATTTTAAAAATCAACTTAAATAATATGGAATACATACTTTTCCATCCTGGTATATAATCATGCATCTCTAAATTTTTTTAATACACAACAAACATGAAGTTCATATTTTTTTATATTTTTAGAATAGATTAAAATATTTTCTAAATAATATACAACAAAACTATCAAGAAACTCTCAAAAGACATCATTCATGAGATGTTGAAAAGTAGCTATTATATTTGTGAGTCTAAAATATATAATATTATATTTGAAATATCCATATTTAATTTAGAAAGTAGCCTTCTATTCATCTCTTTCTTTAGTATCGACCATGTTGTATGCTCCTTGTAGATCTATTTTTGTATGGATCTTTATTTGATGAGCTGGTCAAAAAGTCTTGAAATTAAAGGTAGGAAATACCTATTTTTAATGGTAATCTTGTTAAGTCCTCAATAGTCTACGCTCATCCATAGAGACCCATTTTTTTCTTTAAAAATAAGATAATAGTTCTTGCTAGAGATTTCAAATGGTATATGAAGTTTTTTACCAATTTTTCATTAATATATTCTTTTAGTGCAACCAACTCATTTTGTGACAAATTGTAGATTGATTTGAATGGTAGTTGAGCTCCTTCTTGTAGATCAATTGAACAATCATAGGATCAATGCTTTGGAAGAATATTTTTATTCTTTTCAAAAATATTTTAGAGATCTTGATATTGGCTACAAATATTATTTGATATCTTTCTACTATTAAAAATGAGTGTGGCATACATAGCAAAAGTTGGCCCTTCTTTGGCTACATGCATGAAAGCCTTTGCACCTATGAATAAGAGTTTGGATATATTAAGCTTATCTATTTCTACTTTATTATCTAAATTTTGGATTAAACTAGAAGAAAATTTGAGGTTATAAGAAAATCAATTTATTTAAAAATTATTATATTTTTAATTAAAATAATCCTATAATAATTAGATTGGAAGGAGATTTTATCACATTAAATATTATTATACTATTATGATCTTTAATTGCTACATCTAAAGGAATAATCTCATAAATAACATCTCCTAAAGATAAAAAATGACTCTCTATAACTTTTATATGTATGGATTTAGTTTTCTTAATTAAAAGCATTTCTTATTTCTTAATAAAGTCTTTGTCTATAAAAGAAACTAAGGCTCTTGAATTTAATAATACAAAGACTTTGTGATTTTTAGGTCTTAAACATTCAACTATTATAAAATAAGGTAAATGATCTGAGGAGAGAATAGGACCTTTATTAATTATTATATATGATTCAAGTTGCACAATTCCTATTGTAGTTGAAAAAACTTGTTTTCTAATACATTGTCTTCTTTAGTAATCATACTCCTCATTTTGTAATTGTATTCCTTCTTGGGCAATGTTGAGCAGTGCGCTTAGCTTCTCTATAATATAAGTATAAACCTTCTTGACAATGTCAAGTCTTTTCTTGCTTAATAAGAAGTTTAAAACATATTATATCAATTTACATTGATTTCGGCCTTGATAAATAAGTTTTTAAAAACTTAGAAGTTATTTTCATTACTTAACTTGTTCTCTCCAATTAAATCTTTGTTCTATAATCTCTTAAACTAAATATTCTATTTACTTAATTTTATTTATAAATAATCCATTGTCGCATGCAATGGCTTGATCAATAAATTATTCCAAAGATTTTGCTTTTGGCATTATCAATAACAAATCTTTAATGTTATCCTTCAATCCTTATTAAAATTGATTAATAAAAGCTTTATCATTCCAATCCACATTGCAAGCGAGGTTCTAGAATTTAGTAGAATATATGGTAGCTGATTGTGATCCTTATTGTAAAGATAAGAGCTTTATATCTATTAATCTTTTTAAATCACTTTCTCCAAATATAGTCATAAATATTTCTAAGAATAAATTCAAATCATAAACAAGTCATGAATTCTTTTCTATCAAAAGTACAAACTAAAAAAGTGCACTTCTACATAGAAGTGCATCTATGAACCCAACTTCAGTAAATCCATCAAGATATTAGAATAGATGCAACTTTAGATAAAACTTGACTTATTATAAAAATCCTCAAAATTTTGATCTTGTTCCACCAAACTTCTTAGATATACTAATCCTTATTCCTATTATATTTGTAGAAAAATAAAAAAAAACTTCTTAAATTTAGTTATAAGGTTGATTTACTTTCTTCTTTCAATGGTACAATTTCTTAACGCAGACTCTGAACTTCCATAGGCAGAGGATTAGTATTCCTATGATTGATGCTTGTGATTTATGAAATTTCTATTCTAAGAATATTGTCAAGTTTTTGAAGATCAATAATAGTTACAAATTTATTCTCACTTTTGCTAAGTATAGTATCCATGATTTTTTTTTTTTAAAACAAATTCAAAAATTCAAAAATCAAATTATAGGAAGATAATCCGCAACCTCTAATATCAAATAAAAATTTCCACAAAGAAGAATAATCTGCTTACTTTAAAAAATATATCAATGTTAGAAAACTAAATAGTTTGTTTAAAATTGGATAATCTATAACCTTCAAAATACAATAATAGGAATGAAATAATTCACTTACTTCTAAAATAAACAAGAATAGTGAGTTAGCACTTTTGTCAAACTGTCAAGGACATGAAGCTCAAAGAAAGAAATCCTTAATACATTCTTGTATCTTTCAAAAGAACTAGAAAGTCATTCAAAGTTGATATAGTATTAAATTAGAATGGCTATTGTCAAAGACAAGTAGATTAGAAAGTCTTGAAATAAGACTAAAGATTAGATAAGCATTGACAATAGTGAAGAAGGCTTCATTCATGCCTCCATATATACTCTTAATTAAGAATTACATAGCAATGTCTTATAGAACCTCTAAAACAAGTTGACTTTGTAAAACATGTATCTTAACTTATAAGGCAATTTTTCTATATATATGCCACATAATTAGTTTCTTCCACAGGTTTTCTATATATATGCTACATAATTAGTTTCTTCCACAAGTAATATCTATAAAGCTTAATAACTTGTTGACCAAGTTTTTAACCTATCAATCAACTACAAACACATATAAAGTCAAAGCAATGTGTATGAAGCTTCTAAAAAACTATTCTAGAAAATAAATCTACTTTTATCTATTTTTACTTAATCATATAGGTAATTATTAGGATAAATATGTATGTCTAAGACAATAGATTATAATAGAGATGTCATCTTTCAAAACCTTAAATATATTTCTTATCTTCTTTAATTCCAAAAGCTAATATAGCCAATAGAAGTAATCTAAATTTTTAAACAAATATTCAAATTAATCTAATGCTATTGTCTAAGAAATTAGTAATTATGATACCTTCAAGATTGTAAGGAGCATCAATTCCACCCAACCTCCTAAGATTTAATAGATCTACCAATGAAGACCTAATAGCTCACATAAAAAGGTTTGTAGAAGTATTCATTATTAGTTTAGTGTGAGTCATTGAATTGACTCATTTGAATATTTACAATAAAAAAGACACTTATTATGATTTAAATTACAAGTTTTCTGAGTTAGTAGTAGAATTATTAGAAAAAAATAAAAAAAATAAATTACTAATAGTGGATATGTAGACTAGAGTAGAATTTATTAAGACGAATTTCTATGATAAATATGTTTTTTGTAGTTAATATTAGATGATGGCTCAATGGAACTAGCCCTCATTGTCAAAAGAAAAAAGAAACTTTAGTTATTAGCAGTATATATATATATATATATATATATATATATAAAGTGAGTGATTAGTTAGAAGCAAATCAAAAGAAGGAGAAGAATAAATAAATAAATAAAGAAGAAGAAAAGAATGATGACAAGGGGGAGAGGCTATAGCTGATCTGCCGCAGCCTCTCTGCCGATAGGGGTCCGGGCTGACCCGGATCCCATCTCTCTCTTGAGTTTTTTTTATTTCCTGTGCAAGTTCGGAGGTCGGAGCGCTCAAAAATTCTCCTGTCTAGGTTTATTGGCGCGAGGCATTTTGGGGTTCCGACGGGGTTCCGACTCTTAGAGAGTTCTCTTCCGGTATGTTTTTTTTCCTACAAGTGTGTAATTGCGCCGAAGAGCCACATTTTGTCACCTTTTTTCTTTTTTGTTCCTATTTTTTTGTGTGTGGAGGGAGCCCGTATTGCATGGTGCTGTGCCCTTCTTGCTTGCGGTAGGAAGGCAAAGCTGCTGGTTGGACTACTCGGTCGATGGACGACGTTGGAGAACAGACTGGAATCTTGGCAATGTTGTTTCGTTGCTGCATGGTTGCGGCTAATGGATTCCTGACAGCAGTCACATTGTTGATCGTAAGGTGCGGCGCTGCTAGTCGTGCAGCGGTTGAACTGATTGAACGCATCTGCACCTTCTGAATTTTCTTCCCTCTGCATCTGCGCCTTATGGATTCCCTTTCCCGTGCATCTACAATAAAAGCTGTTGTGCGACACTACAAGCGCATCGCATGGAGGGTTGTAGTGGCGGCTAGATGGTCGACTGAGCGTGTGGGAGCGCATCCCGTGGACTAGGAGCTTGTCTTCAATGGCTATTCATCGGGTGGTTGTAGGCAACATTATCAGCAACGTGTTGATTGTGTTGTTTTTTGGTGGAGCTCAAAGCAGCGGCGGCCACTCTACCTTTTGGCTGGTATTCCTCAACGTGTGAATCTCACGGTGGAGGGAATTTATCGGCATCAGTGGAAGCGTGGAATGAGCAGGACGTCGTCTACCTCTGCTTTGCAATTCTTATTTAATCTTTGCTGAGCGATTGAAGCATCCCTTGTTGACCATTCCTTGCTCCTTGCTTCCTTCAAGCGGACCGTCAACGCGGCTTTGGTTTGTACATCTGGCTATGTAGCCGCTCAAGTTGTCCTCTTGTTCTTTTTTGTTGCATTGTTTTGCAAGCTACAAGTGTTGTGGCTTGTTCGTCGTTTTTTTGGTGTTCGGTGCTAGTGATGTGGACGTTGCTTCGGCGCGAATTCAATTCTGCGGCAATACGGGGTGGTCAACCACTCTTGGTGTGGCTATCAATTTCTTTTTTCTACGTAGGATGCGACACTGCAAGCCAATATCACCTTCAACTTGGTGCAGTCAAAGCTTAGTACTATCCTTGTAGAATCAGCATGGCAACAAGTGAAGAACAAGGCATTACTATTCCATGTCAATTGATCGATAGTTGATGTAGCCAAAACATTGCACCCCACGCCAATTGCAATGTTCTTTGTGAGGTGGATGGTGTGCCCAACAAGACGATCAAAGCTACGACGAAGCAGACTTAGTAGATAAGAGAATACTTCCCAACGCCCAGTCTGAGATCCATGATGTCTTCCACTTGATGCACTCTGCTGACAACGTGAATCTGCTTTGATTACAGTGTTGACAGACGAAGTACAACAACATGATGAACCGAGACATACAACTCTTGTTCAGGGCTTTGCTCACTTAATATCGGCTGCCTTTATAGATCTCTGAACTACAATGCTTGCTAACTTGACGAATCTACTAGGCAGCGAGTGTCGATATATTGTAGTAGCTTCACTACCTCAACGACAAATTCAAGGTCTTGGAATTACATGCCCAGCGATACATACATCCGGGGTAGAGAGTTCGGCCTGTAAGAGGAGCTGACTAGGAAGGTAAAGTCGAAGGGAGCATTGGGAGCAACACCGATTTTAAAGTGGAGGTTTTCATGAATTCACCCTCCAGTAAGAGTGAGACTTTCGGATGAGATACAATTAATTTAGGATTTGATAGAATTAGGTTAGTTTGGATGAATAATTGAAGTTGAATGAACGAAAAATGGATGAAAAGTATTTAGATGAATTTTCATACTTAGATGAAATATTATATTTAGATGAATTTTTGTCAATAGATGAATTTTAGTTAACCAAAAATTAATACAAGATAATGAATAAAATAATTTTTTTTAAAAAATCTTATTAAATAAAAAAAATTATAGAAATTATCAAGTGACTTGTTATTTGTAAGTCTTAGTTGATAATAGAGTTTTGGCTTCATTGATTGGATTATTTGAGAAGAATTAAGAGTGATTTGATTAGAACTTAATTAATAGCTATAACTTCTAAAATTTACATTGTTAATTCATTCATTGTGAATTAGAATAAACTTCATATATATGGAGGTTTATTTTAGCTCACATTTACTAAGCAACCATGGATACTACCTTTTATGGTTTTTGACAATCTTGACAAATTTTGCATGTCTATAGTACATATATCATATAAAGGAGTTATTTATTGCCCAGGAATAATTTGTAGCAACTTTTCTTTTTTAATTTAGACATGTAATTGGCCAACAACAAGTCTTTTCAACCTTAACTAATATTAGATAAGATCTCTTAAGATATATTATTTCTTATACAAGATAATTTTATGTAATATGCATCTATTACATTGATAATCTTTTAGATGAAAATACCACAAAAGACTATTTTATCTAAGGTTTTGTTATACCTTCTATAATTTAAAATATGCTAAATAAGTGATTGAAGAATTTAAAAAGAGTCATTTAAGTTGCCTTAAAGGTAGAGGTTTTTGGTATTAAATAAATGAAATAAAATTTAAATTTAAGTATATATATATATATATATATATATATATATATATATATATATATATATATATATATATATATAATTCTTAAAAGGAAAAACAAATCAATATTTGTTGTTATACCTTTGCAACATCAACATACTAAATTCCATCAATATTTGGCTTTAAGCTATTCATATTCTTTTATTTTTTTATTGACAATTAACAATATAATATCTTTAGTTATATAAGATTAATAAAATCAATTTCAAAATAATATCTTTAACGATATTAAATTGAAGAATTTAAAAGTAAAATAAGTCTTCCTAATGATGTGTTCAAAAAAAAGATTATAAATTATAAAGGCAATTATTGAACAAATAACTTACTTCATTAAAAATAAAACTTAAACTATAAAGCCTCAATATCATAAATTAGAAATTCATATTTTATGATTGTTTAAAATAAACCACACAATATAATTTTTTCCATAATTTCTACAATAATCACCTATGGAAAAAAAACCAATTTCAACCCTAAAAACTTCTTCATCAACTAAGTCAAGTAAATTCTAGTTTTTCTTCAAACTAAAGAAATAATATTATATCTTGTCCTACTTGCAAAAAGCCACATTAAATAGATGAATGTTGAGTTGAAAATAAAATTAATTTTTTCCATTATAGAAGATTTCATCCTTTAAATTATTTTAAAAGATCCAACTAGATTATTCCTTCAATTTCTTTTTCAAAGGACTATAGCAATTAAGTTGAAAAGAATATATAAGAAGTTAGATTTTTAGATCTTATTCTTACAAACAATCTATCAAACTTATATTATGACCATTCAAGCAATAGTCAAAATAATCACTCTTCAATTATAGCTCAAATCAATACAAAAAAAAATCAAATTCAAATTCAAATTCAAAAAAATTCAACAATCTTCCACATATAACCAAAAGCAAGACTATTAGCCAAAAACTTTTCAAGATGTTAGATACACAATAGCTCTACATGATCTATTTTCTACATCAAATTTACCACCTCTTTAATTAAAATTACTACAACTAGATTCCAAAAAGTTCTCCCAAAATAATATATATTTATTTTTTTGTCTATATATGAAAATAAAAGTACCAAAAGATGAATGGATTTAATACAATTTGAAGAAGATAAAATATTTATAGATACTTTAAAAGGATTATTTAAATTTATTTAATTGACAAAAAATATTCATAAAATAATTAAAGAATTAGAAGAAAAATGATAATTTTTTTAAATTAAACTTTAAAAAAAATAATATATATTTGTAGGAAAAAAAAGACTTAAGAATTTTAGTATTTTTTTGAAATAACTAATAGCAAATATAACCTTTAATGAGGATAAATTTTTTCCTCAATCCAAATTACAAGATGGCCTCAATTAAGAATTACTTGTAATTGGTGGTATGGAGCAAAAGATGCAATAGACAAGAATAAAAGAAAGAATAGTACAAAATAAGTGAAATAAGTGCAAACAAGCAATTACATATAAAAATAAATACTAAAAATATATATTTAGATAGATAATTTTATTATCTTCCTAATGACATTAGCAAAATATAAATCTAAATTACTATAAATAATTTATAAAATTTTAAAAATTAAAAATTAAAAAATTAAAAAATTAAATTAAAATATTTTATTCATAGGATAACTTACTTATAGATCAAAGATTTGAACCTCACCAAGGCTCACATATATTTTATTTAGATTGCCTAAAGAGGCCTTGAGGCATTAGTCTTATCTTCCTACCTATACCCAAGATACTACAATCCATATGAGACTTGTGCACCTCTTTTTTTACAAGGACTACACTAGCTATTGGTCCTTCTATTTACTACTAGTAGAACTCATATTTTTGCACTTTTTTTACTACACCATGGTATTTAAAAAATTTCAAATAGCTTTGAGACCTTTTAAGGCCTTTAAATCTTATTCCATTTTTTCATAATGGCTCCAAAGGTGGTAAAACTCAATTTTACAAAGGTCTTGAAATCTTCTCTATAAATACCTAAATAATTCTAAAATAAATTTTAATATTTTTATAATACTAAAATCTATTTAAATCTATATTTTATTATCTTAATAATTTTCTATTGTAATAAAAATAATTTAAATCTACTAAAAATCCTATTTTTTCTAAAATAAATTAAAAAAATATGAAATTTTCTTTCATATTTCTTCTAAATACTAAGTAATAATTGATAGGATTTTATAAGTAATATATATAAATAGGAGGCCAATGAAGACATTGGTCTCAATAACTAATCTTTATTACTTAATAATAAGTAATAATACTAAATTAACTAAGATAATTGCCTCCAAGACTTACTTAGATTCCATCTAATAATTTTTCTTCAAAAAAAAATTTTGTAACTTATAAACACTTCTAAATTCTAATAGATAATTAAATAGCCAAAAAAACTTTGTAGTCTTAATATTTGTATATGTAAAGGATTAAAAAAAAAAAAAAAAAAAAAAAAAAAAAATCCACTAATTAAAATACATTGATAGAGCTCACATCTTCACTCTTGCCAAACCTTATGATTTATGGCAAGTTATTTGTAGAGCTAAAGCCAACGTTTTTTTTGTAATTAATTCAAATAATACCAACTATTAAAAAAGATCTCAAAAAAAGAGTTTAATATATATATTTATATAAAATAATACATATTTTTTGTAATTTAGTAATTTATTGATGTATAAAATATAGTAAAAAATATTTTTTATTTTTTCATCAAAATTAATTCTTATCCAAAAATAAATGAAAAATAATTTAATATTATTTATTTATATATATATATATATTACATATATATGCAAAAAATTATATATATATATATATATATATATAGGTTTTTTCTAATTTTGATAATATATATATATATATATATATATATATATATATATATTACTTGAGAAAAATATCCTAGTACGTAAATATAAAATTATGTAATAAAAGATTAGTAAGAGACAAGAATACTAAGACTTTTTTAAAATATTAAAATTTATACTTATTGAAATTAGTTGTTTTTAAAGTATAGTATGTTTGATCAAAAAGCACATGTTGTTTGTAAATTCTTAGAAAAATTACTATAAATTTTGATATATGTATTTATTTATATCAAAAATTATTACATTAATAAATAGTTTATTGACTAAAAATATTATTGAGATGTTAATTATAAAATGATAATTGATTATATCTCATATCAATACATAAAATTTACTTATAATAATTTATTAATGTTTTTA